TATCCCTGATAAGGTTATTTTAATTCAAGAGGAAAAAATGAGTTAATTTTGATTACTCCGTTTGAAGAACCATCAAACACGTAGCGTTTCTGTCGTCAACATTTTCCTGATTCTTTATGACAGAAGTTACTACAGCTTTGGGCACATTTATTTTTGCAGTCCAAACCCCACGATCCGTCATCGCAGTCTAAAAACAATAATTTTGTATCGATTATAGAAGGAGTTTGTCAGCATTTCCTCCAACACATTATCGGGTTTATGGATACACATAAAGAGAATCGTATAACGTTTTCGTGTATAAAAATAGGTAACTAAATAAAAATGTTGACAATATTTCAAATTCGATTATACTAATATTTTAAAGCGTAAATGTGTACACTTAATGACATATGAAATGATAATTAGCATTTATAAGTATGAAAAATAGCGTAACGACTCTTCTAAGCAAACCAATTAATTCTTACCTCCAAAAACTTCAATTTCACAAAAAGTAAAAAAGACTGCGGTATCCGAACCTATCTGAGATATTTTGATTTTCGATACGTTCTTTATCTGTTCAATAATCAAATCAAACACTGTTTGTGGGGGTTGGTCGTTTTTGTAATTCAGAAGACTTTTTGATTGCGCATCAAATGCCTCTAACAAGAAAGGTATTGCATTTTGATCATCTTCATCGCCTGAAATAATGTTTGAAACAGTATATTTTCGTATATTTATGTTCAACACATCAATTTTAGATAGTAAAAAATAATAAAACTCTAAGTAAAAAAAAAGTTAATAATAGAAGATTCACAATACTATTTTCAAAAACTACAATTCTGCATCAAAACATTTTTAACTGTACTATTGAAATTATTTTTTGTCTAATTTTAATAATTTAAATGCAAAATCCAAAGTAAAAATGAATTATTTAAAATTATGTTGGCTTTGTATGCAATAAGAGAGGCGCATTACAAAAATCCCAAAATCTAAATATTTTAAAAGTATTAATCAATAGTAAACTGGCTGAGTCTAACCGAAAATTCTTTTGTGCAGTTTAAAACGATTAATAGAAACAGATTTGTCGAATTGAATTTCAACAAATGCATTGTCTTTGGCATTCTCCGATTGTAGATCATCGTATGCACAGCTCCATAAGTTGCCATCCACGATACCGCCGGGAAACTCGGAATTAGGTTTCTGAACCACAGTTTGTCTCAGTGCAAAATTACGGCCTAAAATAATAAAAAGATCAAAAGACACACACACACACACACACACATATATATATATATATATATATATATATATATATATATATATATATATATATATATATATATATATATATATATATATATATATATATATATATATATATATATATATGTATATATATATATATGTGTGTGTGTGTGTGTGTATATTTATTTTATATATATATATATATATATATATATATATATATATATATATATATATATATATATTATAATATATAATCAATTTTATATAAATTAATGTTTACATATACAAGCAAATAAACATATAATAAATAAAATAAAATAAACAAATAAATTTTAAAAAGCAAATAAACAACCTCCACTAAAATAGACAGAACACAACGTTGATAAGCCTGGGCCCTTCAGAACCAACTTGCTAGCCCTTTCGTTTTCTACAAAAAATATCTTTAGTATGATGTTCTGTATATATTTTTGCATCTGTGCAATTGAATGTTGAAGACTTTCCCTGAAACTCTATCTCAATAGCTTTCCCTATCCCGAGTTCTAAATAAAAGTTTAAAGAAAACGCATTTTATTGTAAAAGTTTTAAAGTATTTTGTTAAATAGTTAATACAAAAAAATATTGGTTTACACACAATCATTTATGTTTCAAAAACTTTACCTGCTCTCGTAACCAGCCTCACTAAAGTTACAGGGAATTCACCGCCTAGTTCTAACGTTAAACTGCTTAATGACTCGTGCATGCAAGTGAAATCGTCGCCGTCTGTTACTACATCGGTGTCGTCATAGGTGGCCAGTTGATCCACTGCAGTGAATAGAGTTTTGATAAAATGTAATAATCGTGATGATATTTTATTTAGGATAAAATCTACCTATTGTATATTACAGAATTTAAGTGAAATACAGAACTGCATTCTAGCATTCAAAATCTTCTTAAGGGGGTAACCTCCAGAAAAAAACTAACTTCCCAATTAAAACGTTTTATTGATTCATTTAGGGTACTTAAAGGAAAATATTTGCAAGCATCAGGCACTCTTTTGAAAATATGGTTGCCATGGCAATGGCGGCCATCTCGAAACAAGCTGCATTTTCATAAAGTAACATAACAAAAATGTTACAAAAACAACTTTCCAATTGCAAGCTTTTCTATAGAAATGTACTAAATGTAGAAAATAAATTAGTGTCTTTAATATATAATAATGCACAACGATTTAAAAGCTATATAGAGTCACATCTCAAATGTTTCTAATAGTTATAGATAATATAGTGACCTACGTTTTTTTATCGAATTTTAAACAGTGTTGCATTATTTTGTATGAAAACAAAATAATATTTTCAATTTCGTGTGCATTATGATATTAAATATTGGTATTAAAACGTTGTTTATTAAGTTGTTTTTTTAATAATTTTTTTTATTATAACAAACAGTACAATAGACTTGTAAAACCTATATAATCTTACTAAATGTATTAAAATACTTTTTGAAAAATATAGTAAGCGATATAATTATAGTTACATTAGAAGGAAATTTAAGCTGTTTAGGAACCATCGTTTACACTTATTTTCATATTTGTGTATTGAACATAGCAGTTGAAAAGCCATTTCGAATTATTTTATCTATTCAAATATTTAAAAAAAACTCCTCAGTCCCTCCTTGAAGTCAACCGGAGTGGTCGAGGAAAGTAAAACAATAAGAGTCACAATTATTGTTTTACATGATAAAATACACAATAGTGGTCAATATGGAATAGACTAGTAGTTTATTTGTATTAGATAAGATAACATCCCCTATCAACACAACACCCTGTCTACTGATTTAAATAAAAAATAAATGTGTTGGCTAAATTACTAAGTTACTAGTAACTTTCTTAAAAATATTTATGGACTTAATAGAGCCGGAACTCATTTTGCACACATTTCACAAATACCTAAAAAAAAAAAATTTGATTGAAAAATATGCTTCCTTGCAACAACCATTTCAACCAGATTTTCAAGCCAATTACATGACTTGAAACAATTGCACAGCGGTTCTTGTAATAGCGCGAACAAAATAGTACTTTATGTGAAGAAAGTTGGTTTATTCTTGAAATTCAATTAAATTAGTAGTGGTCGAAATTGTACTGAGCCGTTTTCGACCCATGATGACGGCAAAAGACAAAACCACCAAAGACACACAGACAGAGAAAGCAAGTTAAGCAATTGCTTGTAACAATATAATTTAGCAAACAAAATTATTGATACGGGAAAATCGTCGTTTAGCGATGCGTATATTTAAAGAATCTCACACCCAATTGAAATTAAAAGCTAAATGTTAAGCGATCTGCTGATGTAAACATTATCTCACCGTACTGACAGTGTTTACCAAACCATCCCCGGGAACATTTTTCTGCTGGCCAGCATGTGCCATTTATATAGCAGTGGTCGCCCCTACAGTTACACCTATATTTCTTTTTCGGACCAACCCAGGTGTAGGCTACAAAATCAAATGCAAAATTGCTGATGCTACTGAGCACAAAAAATATCAAAATTAACACATTTGATAGATAGGATTTAATGTAAACACTACATTCAAATTAATCAATAAAATGTATACCGATGTTATTTCTTTTAATTAAAAATAATATTTATACTATTTATGTTATAATAGTTATAGTTACAAAGAAATTTTTAAAAATAAATCATTTTGAGAAAACTGGTACTTTGAATATGTTCAACAAGTCCATATTTGTCACTTAATAGATAGGATTTAATGTAAACACTACATTCAAATTAATCAATAAAATTTATACCGATGTTATTTCTTTTAATTAAAAATAATATTTATAGGGCCTACTATTTATGTTATGGTAGATATTGTTACAAAGAAATTTAAAAAAATAAATAATTTTGAGAAAACTGGTACTTTGAATATGTTCAATAAGTCCATATTTGTCAATATTATCAATATCCGATGGTTTTTGTTCGCATTCCCCAGTCTCCGGGTGGCAAGGATTTGCACAGTTCTCGTCACATTTTGCCTGACAATCCAAACCCCAATGTCCTGCATCACACTCTAGATGTAAAAAAACAACAACAAATAAACACTAAGCACGACAGACGGATTAAGTAAGTAAAGCTTGTAGAAGGGAATATACTCATTTTTTATGTCATGTAATTTAGTACCGTTGTAATGAAAGCCCAGAAAAGCCATGTAAATTGCAGTGTATTCTATACAATATGTACATTTTTATATCTTTTCGAAAGCATTGTCCAGTCTCTTTAAGACAAGGTATACTGCAATCACTGTCGCATTTTTTCTTACATTCCAAACCCCAAAATCCGTCAGGGCAGACTGAGTATGATCAATATTGGTTTAAACATTATAAAATGAGGCTAAAATGCAACTTAAATGAACAAAATATCCCAAAATATTTATTGAGAAGTAAAGTGATCAAGTAGGAGAGTCTAAGACGAAATCCCTTGTTCCAGGTTTAGGTAAAAGGAATCAAGTAATACGATGTCATTCAGTTCTGCTTGTTAATTTCTATTTCTGGCTAGTCAATACAAAAAAGAAAACAAACAATAAAACGACTCTAATATACATAAACCTATGTTAATATAGATTTTTTTCTTTTGGGAATGATGAATTTTGAGCTTTGTAGGCAGTAATATAGATTTTGGCACACTAAGTAACACTTTATAAATATTACATGAAGGTGAACAAAACATGTTCGCCCATCACAAACAAACCGAAATAAATAGGTGAACATTTTATTCGAATAAACTTTGCATTCGCACCTTTTTTGATGCATTGTCCTGTTTCCGTATCACAATCATTACTGCAGCTACTGTCACATTTGTTTTGACAATCCAATCCCCAAGTCCCATTCAAACAGTCTGAATATAATACCAAATACAAGTTAATACTTTAACAGTTCTAAGAAAAAAACGGAAGCAAAACTAATGTCAAGTTGTCTAATAGTAAAGCCCACGACGAAATATTTACATGTTTTTCCAGGTTTTGATTTTTTGGATTATGATCCGGATAATTTTTTTAAGCAATTTTATCATCCCAATTTATCATAAAGCACATATTCAGTTTTTACGTTCTCGTAGATCTATATACGAAGTATAGAGAAAGTATTGTAATCGTGCAAAAAAAAAAATCGAGATTTTTACAAATCTCGACGTTTTACACCTCACGGATACGGAAAAACATAATTTTGCAATCTTGTCCGTATTTCTGTGTGTGTGTGTGTGTGTGTGTGTGTGAGTCTGTCTGTCTGTCTGTCTGTCTGTCTGTCTGTCTGTCTGTCTGTCTGTCCTTGTGTAAACACGATTACTTGAGTACCGTTAAAGATAGGTTGATGAAATTTCATAGATAAGTATTTTATCAAAATCGTAGATCCGTGTCAACTTTTGAGCGATTTCCGATATCCGGAACTGGTACTTTTCCTACTTTGAATTTTTCAAAAGCCTATAACTTAAGTACTATTTCAGATAGATAAATGAAATTTCACATGCAAGTAAAAGATTTAATTCTCTACCTTCTGTTAAATTTTGAGAAATGTATATATATATATATATATATATATATATATATATATATATATATATATATATATATATATATATATAAATACAGTGTGTACCATTATAAATTGAAATACTTTTGCTATATATTCCAAAAATGTTCAAAAGATGTATGTCAATGTAACCCTATAATTTGTTCTAGAAAAAACTAAACATTCATAAAATAGTTATTGTTCTTAAGAATCAAATAAAATTGTAATACAATTATCTGACAATCATTACAAACATTACTGAAAATTTTCATGTCTTAAACATTAATACTTTTCTCATAATATTGCACATAAAAATGCTACTAAGTATAGAGACAGCTGACTTTTTCAAGGTCTAAATAAGACCAGAACAATATAAGAACTTATTTCCTCACTCGCATCTATATGGACTGTACATATTAAAATTATGAGCCTCCAAAGATTAAAAATAAAGAAACTTCATTTTTTGGTGTAATAGCTATACTTAATTAGAAATTTAAAAAATTATTGTGTGTATTTGATTGTATCGGTTCTTGACCCACGTAACAAGTTTCAAACGAATATTTCAATTATAAGTGCTGGAAATTTTTCTCGGCAGAATTGATCTATCACGAAGGACAAAACACAACAGACAGAGGAACCAAGTTAAATAAAACTTTGTGAAATGAAATATACAGTCATGTTTCATTTCATATAATTTAGTACCGTTGTAATGAAAAAAAAAAGCCACGTGATTTACAGTGTAATCTAAAGTAATATACTTTTTATGTATACCTTTTCGGATGCATTGTCCAGTCTCTTTATGGCAAGGTTTACTACAACCGCTGTCGCATTTTTTCTTACAATCCAAACCCCAAAATTCGCCAGGGCAGTCTGAATATAATCAATATTGTTTTTTTTAAAATTATAATATGAGGCTAGAATGCAACTTTAATTTGCAAAGTACCCCCAAATTTTTATTGAGAAGTAATGTGATCAAATAAGAGAGTATAACTGTTCGATACAAGGTATCAAGAAATACGTCATTTAATTATGATTGTTGATTGTTTTTCGGGCAAGCCAAGGAAAGAAAAGACAGCAAAAATAAAACGATTATACCATACATGAATATGCCGAGGTCTCATAAACAGTATAAATTTAATTCAACTGCTCAAACGACCGCTACTTTATCGTACATGACTTAGAGTACAATTATTTTGCTAAAACCCTAAAGACGTTTCTAGCAACGTTTGAAAAAGTAAGGCGGCACCTTTATCACTATAAATGAGGTTGTATGATATTAACCCATATAAATGCGATTATAATAGTGTTCGAAAAATGGTAATAAACAATAAGAACAACAGAGAGAGGAAACTAAATTTAAAAAGCTAGTAAAAAGGAATACACACTCGTGTTTTATTTCATGTAACATAGTACGTTGTAATGAACACTCGATATATTCTATAGAAATATACATTTATGTATACCTTTTCGAAAGCATTGTCCAGTCTCTTTATGACAAGGTCTACTGCAACCGCTGTAGCATATGTTCTTACAATCCAAACCCCAAAATCCGTCAGGGCAGTCTGAATACAAGCAGTATTGTTTTCAGCTTTAGAAAATAAGGCTAAAATGCAACGTTTTAGAATAATGTATCTTAAAATATTCCTTGAGATGTAAAGTGATCAAATAGGAGAGTCAAAGACGAAATCCATTGCTCCAGGATTCGGGACAAGGAATAAAACAACACGACGTAATTTAATTATGTTTGTTAATTTGTGTTTCTGGCTAGTCAAGGAAAGAAGTGACAGCAAACAATAAAACGGCTATACTATACATGATTTTTTCAAGGTCTCATAAACAGTTTAAATTTAATTCATATTCTCAAATGATCGTTACATTATATAACGTCTCTTCGATTTTATTTCTGTTGCTAAAAATCTAAAGTCTTTTCTATCATCATTAGAAAAAAAATTACTTTGGAACTTTTATCACTTCAAATGAAGATTGTTTGAGATTCACTCATATAACTCTGGTTACAATAGTGGTAGACAAATGGTAATAAGCAATTTCCTAAAGATAAATCAAATCTGTAGTCGAACCTACCTCCAAATGCCTCAAATTCACATAAAGATACGTATGAACTTGGATAACTTGACTGTTTTATTTGCAGAGCAGAAACTGTTTTTGGCTTTTCAAAGTTGATATTATAGACCGCTTGTGTTGGGCTGGTATCAGTATATATCCTTTCTCTATTGTTATTCAAATCAATTGCTTCCACAACAAACCCCTTTAATCTATCACTCACGTCATAAACCATCTGATTCTCTGAAACCATAATCCAAAGTTAAAATTCTTTGTTCAGTCCACAAACGAATAAATAGAAAAACAAGATAAATACTTGTTTTTTAAACACTTTTAGAAAAATATAATATGGCGATGTAATATCAATATAAACACAATATATATATATTTTTGCAAAAGATAAAACATAATTTAATACATATTGCTAAAGCAAAACACATTTTAAAAATACCTGCAAAGTTTTAATACATCGTGCTTTTGTGCTATTATTAGATTTATTTAAATGTGCAGTTAGTTTAATCATTAGTTGACAAAAGTGTGTACAGAAATTAAATGATTATGTTTGGTATAGAGATAAGTATTGGTGTGATTGCAAACGTGATTTGCTTGTGACGTCAGTAAACTGAATCAATATTTACAATTCCCCTCCCCATCCTGACACATTACACACAATCCAACTTTATTCACACATTGTCTAAAATACAAGATGTCCCCAATACTGATGTCACTAAAATAAACTTCATCAAAATTAAACGCAATTTTATCGAACAATGGCATGTTTCAAAAAATGTTTTTTCTTTGGTGAAAACCATTAAGATTAATTCAGAATCCTCAACTCTGACTTCTTATTTCAATACATTATCATATAAGACCGAACCGTCTTCCCTACAAAGAGGTGCTTAGCGTTACATTGTTCAAAGTAGGAAATCTCATTTAACCAACTTTTGAAGGCTCATTGTGCTTTTAAATTTATAATACATTTTTTTAATTTTCGAAACCCTGCTATGTACGCAGATAACTACTCCATCGGTGATAGGACAAAGAATCTTAGACAAAATATCTTAGACAAAATATCCCAGACACTATATATCACGGAAAATTGATCTCAGTCCAAATGAACTGACGGAGAAAATATATCACACCGAATTTTATCAGGATAAATTATACCATAGACAAATGATCTCAGATAAAATATCTTACAGCGGAATATGTATAGTATTTGAGATTATTGTAATCGATTCTAACATTTTAAAATTTGATTGTCATACGGATTTTAGTTTACTTTTTTAAACATAACAATGGTGAGAAAAGGTTTGTCGCATAGGTTAGTTCAAATTACATAAAACACATTAAAATAGCAATTAGAAATATAATATTCGTAGATTCAAACTGTATTTCGATAAACAAGATCATTGGGCTTGAAGCTCATTAAAACAATCCTACTACGTTAGTTGGACGAAACTTAGATCAAAGTTGATCACTCGTGGGTATATATATATATATAGAAGGGCTATAAAAAACAGTGATCTAACTCACTATTATGTTGAGTGATTAACTTACGCTCAAGGCTTTCATGCGGTAGTGTAGATAAACCCGTGCCCCTCCCCCCCCCCCCAATAAGATCCAAGCGCGGGCGATGTTTAAATAACTCAGTTTAGAAAACAATGTCACACTTCTAACAATATAGTATTGGTAACGCATTCTTGTATCCCAGCGACAACGCGCGGGGACGGGCACGCTAGTAAAATATACAATAACAACATTTTTTTTAAAAATCAACTTTATAAAATATAGTTTGGAATAACTCATATAATGACACTTAAGGAAATTAAACTTTTACAAAAATGTTTCTATTAATTGAAAGATAAAATCTAACAGTAAATCACAAAATATAACGTTTTGTCAAATTCTTATTAAAAATGATGAAACCTACCGTTGACTCTGTTATACAATTTGATACGGCTTATCGGGAACGGTTTTTCAAATTGAACTTTAAATGATGGGGCATTGTCGTTGACTGCAGTATGTGAAAATAAGCGGTCGCAATTATTTGTATCACCATCAACAGCCAACTTTGCGTAGAGATTTTCATAGTCACTTGACTGGGTAGCATTTTGTTTCAATGCCAAATTACGACCTATTACATACAAATTAGAAAAGAAGATCGTTTTTATTTTCATTACCTAGATTTGTATGGTACACTCATTTATTTTGAAAGATTAAGTATTTTCTAGAATTATTCTTAAATAAGGTGTTAAACAATAGACGTAAATAATTATACAGTTAATGTTTTTACAATGACATCTTTGAATTTTCGCATTTATTTCTGTCTAAATCAATTTTGACTTAGTTGTTTATCGTCAGAAATATTGTATCTTCAAACAATTGAAATCTTTGCTCTACAGTTAATTATTCTCATAAGTAAAATATAGCCTACTTTCTTCTTTTACAAAGTTATTATTAGTGGATAAAGCCTATTGCCTTGTCTAATTATGGGCATTTTCTTCAAAGAGAAAATCATGAAGATGGATGAAATTTTTTTGTCTGTATATGGTTTGGTTAGTATGTGAAATACTTGGATATGGTAGCAATGTTCATATTGGTTCAGAATTTTTTTAAATATATAAATACAGGCAAAACGAAAATTTTATATATTATATAGAAATTTTCAAAAAGTAAATTATTAGACTTTTGAGCGAGTGTTTAAATTCACATCATACAAATGCTACGTAATATTTATTCTAATTTCTGAATAGAGGTATTTTAATTTTAAAAATTCAAACTTAAATTATCCCACTACTTATGATTTAATATAGAGCATAAATAGTACCGTAGGAAGTAAAAGTTACACAATTCGATATTAAATTACCATGTTACTATTTTTAAAAATATGTTTATTACATTTAACATTTGAGTTATCAATCAACTAGTATTTATTTACTTTACTAGAAAAATCAGTAAAAATTGTTGTTATGGTTTTAATTTTAAGAATGTTAATTGACTTACTAATGGATAGATACCGTATGTAAAATGAATATTAAAGTATTATTGAATGTAAATCTTTTTAAGGTCCATGTGATAATGTTAATCTTTAAACAACTAGTGCAAGAAAAGCTGGCTAACCTCTACTATAAATTAAATAATAAAATACACACCTCCACTGAAATAGACGGAGCATAGGTTGCTTGCATCGTCATTGCTTATACGGATTACATTAACCTGTACATCAGTTTCACAGAAGTAGTCAAAAACGTTTGCCTTAACTTCATACGCTAATGTACTACATCCAGGAATTGGTTTCATACCTGTTATTTTCTGATCTATTTGAACGAAATTTTATAATTAGTTTCCATTTAGAGAAACACTTCTCAAACTAACCGCTCCTAAGAAATAAAATCCTCAATAAAACATGAGGAAAAATAAAATGTAACTTAATGCCTGTGAGAACGTGGTTTAGAAAAAAAAGTCTACCTTGTTTGTAAACAAATCGTATGAGAGAAGTTGTATATGTATCTCCGAGATATAAAGTCACATTGTCAGTTGTTGCGGGCAGGCAGGTATTATCATTGCCGTCAGTTAGTATTTTTTTGTTTGAATACATCCCAAGTATATCAACTGGATGAAAATAAGTACGCGGTATATTATGCATGACTGTACATGCCTTTACATTAAGGTTCGGGAATGTAATGGCACACACAGACCAAAACATAAAATTTTTACACATTTAAATGAATGAATGTATTGAGTGAAATGAATGAATAAATAAATATATATACATGATAATTCTAATATTAATATTCATAAATTCAATAACCAACGCTATCAAAATAACACTCGAGCACTCTAGTTAGGTTACTATTTTATCCAAACCTTAATTTATAGCAATATATCATAACCGATTAGTGCAAAAAGAAATGTAATGTGTCAATACGGTGAAAAAGAATTACCAATCTGGCTTTCAGAAAATTATGAACTGGGAAGTTGTTTTTTTTTTAAATTTAAAGTAGCTAAAACCTTTGATAATGAGAAATAAGTAAGCAGGGCTCCGGATGATATAAACAGATGTATTTTAGGAAACCTAACACACTATGCACTTGAAAACCAATTGGATATAATTGAATCGAAAAACATGATTTGTATTTTTTTTTTACAATACATACCGTATTGACATGTATTACCAAACCAGCCACCTTTACAATTGAAGCCAGGTTTACATTGACCATCAACTTCACACTTACTGTCCTGACAGTGACATTCAAATTGTTTGTTTTCTCCAAATAAGCTGTTCACTGCAAATTTTTTTATACTGAAATTATTCTCTAAATCAGTAAATTACTTATTCATGGTGCTTTTTGATTTATAAAAGTGCAATCATCGAGAGTTGCTGAGATGACAGGAACAAAACAAAATTTAATTACGCTATTAATGCAATTTTAAATTTATATCGTGGCTGAGCGATAGAGCACTAGGCTGCTAACCCGATTCTCTCGAGTTCAAATCCGGGTCTAATTCAATATATCGTCCACCCAGTTCTAATTGTAACCTAACTCATGTTAGGGAAATTAAAGGCGACTGGGCAAAGTTTTGACCACACCTTCCCTTTATATATCGAGGTTAAAAGACATGTGAACTCTATTTCATCTGCCCAATGGATTGCTATCTTTTTTTATAACAATTTAATAATTTCTTTAAGAAAATATTTCAAAGTGATTCCTTATCGTTGTATTTCCAAATCTAGTCCTTAATTCCAACTGGAAGCAACATTTTATACGGTTTTTTCAACGTGTGACCAATATGATTTCTTAAAATGTTCGACCCTGTTTTCTAAAACATGAGTTATTAAAATACAAAAATTGCCACGGTATCGCAAAGATGCGAAAGGTTGTGATGTATGAAACTAGGACCTGGATACACCATACAGTGAAAGTACTTTGAAATCTAATATACTACTAATTTCCTCAATAGACTTGAAAAGTTAGACACCTTATTTAGCAGAATTTGTTAAGTAGAATTTCACCCACAAACAAACACAAACACATTATCAGTCTGGTACTGGTAAGATAATAAGTATATTTTATTTTATGGGTGCCGGGTAGACAATAGTGTGTGGATAACAATGGGAATTTTTGTGTTAACACATTTTACTATTTAAAAAAAATAACAAAAGTTACTATGTCGGTATTGTGTTCATTATATTGGGATATTACGTTATATGTTGTTATTTGCCTTTTATCAAAACGGCTCTAAGTCGTTGTCGGCCTTCTGTCTATATCAGCCTTTTCTTCCGGATCCTAAATAAGTTAGGGTAATGTATCTTAGTTTTAGATACAGTATCAGTATTTAAAGACATTGCGAAACTGCAGTACTTGTAGATCTTACAAATGAAGTTATACTATGCTTCATCAATAGGCCTACCGTCACATTGTCCAGTCTCCTTATGACAGGTTCTAGAGCAAAGGCCATTACATCTTTTACAGTCTAAACCCCAAAAGCCATTATCGCAGTCTAAAATAAAAAAAAATATATAATTAATAAGTATTATGCAACTTAAATATATACATAAATGTATGTTTTGTGTATATATTGTGTTAGCATCATATTATTACAGCGCAGAGGGAAACCTGTGATTGAAGGTAAATTGCAAACAAAATATTTTTTTTTGTTTTTATTTGGACCATTTTAAATTTTAATTTGAGTGTTTACCTCCGAACACTTCCAACTCACAAAAGGAAATAATCGGATATGTTTCACCAGGTGGAATTTTTTTCTGCTTGAACTCAATTTTGGTAACTCCTTTCCGCAATTGTAAGTCCAAATCATAAATCATCTGACATTCACTTGGGTCTTGGTGTCGATAGAGAACGTTGGACCCTGAATCAAAAAGTTCCATTTCAAAGCCTGTTAAACGCCTTCCTAATCCATAACCAAGCCTGTAATCTGAAATAGTGTGGAGATATTTTAGAAAAACAAACGAAGATCCGTCGTTTTGAAAAAAAAAATATCCATCGATATACATTAAAATGTGTTAACTTTACAGTGGATACCAATGTCACTTGCAACTATAATATTTTCAAAATGAAGACATGAACTTAGACCTAGACCTAGACCTAGACCTAGACCTAGACCTAGACCTAGACCTAGACCTAGACCTAGACCTAGACCTAGACCTAGACCTAGACCTAGACCTAGACCTAGACCTAGACCTAGACCTAGACCTAGACCTAGACCTAGACCTAGACCTAGACCTAGACCTAGACCTAGACCTAGACCTAGACCTAGACCTAGACCTAGACCTAGACCTAGACCTAGACCTAGACCTAGACCTAGACCTAGACCTAGACCTAGACCTAGACCTAGACCTAGACCTAGACCTAGACCTAGACCTAGACCTAGACCTAGACCTAGACCTAGACCTAGACCTAGACCTAGACCTAGACCTAGACCTAGACCTAGACCTAGACCTAGACCTAGACCTAGACCTAGACCTAGACCTAGACCTAGACCTAGACCTAGACCTAGACCTAGACCTAGACCTAGACCTAGACCGTTAGATTCAAATTATACGGTTTTAAATTGTCATGACTCTTACAAGATGGAAAAAAATAACATATTGGTCAATAACATGTCAATTAAAGTTTATTAATATCCAATTTAACAGGCTCTACTTGAATTGATAAAATATAAGTAGCACTATTTAGCTGTTTGACAGCATGAATTTTTTTTCTTTTTTTATAAAATATAATAATCAACTAAGAAACATGTCAGGTACATCATTGTTTCTTTCAATATACGCTAAACAAAATATATTTAAACACACCTCCTCCACGGTTGAAGATTCTAACCCTGGTTACCGTCATCGGTTTGCCAAACGGAAGTTCAAATGTAGGATTTTGGTCATTAGTTTGTGAAAAAACACGTCCACAATTGTCCGAAATACCGTCTACAGCCAAACTTGCTGGCAAAGTAGGATGAGTGCTAGACTGTTTTGCTTGTTGTTTCAATGCAACATTACGACCTTTTATAGATAAATAGAAAGTACATAATATGGTAAACAGTTTTATTTTGGTGGGCGAGAGGTATAGGTTTGAATTTTGAGACGTTTACGTTATTGATTATTCAAAATTTTTAAAATATGTTAAATATCAATGTAAAAATGTTTTACCTGTGTAAAATGTCAAAACATAGAGATTGTCAATTAATTTTCATCTACAAGGCTACATTATTTGATTTCATTTTATAACGCTATCTAATGTTTGAGCTAATTGGGATGATCGTAACCTGATACGTATAAAGAAAATAAAAGAAAACATCACTCACCTCCGCTAAAATAAACAGAGCACAAATTGTGTAAAGTTTTGTTACTCAGTTTGATAACGTTAACAAACGTGTAAACATCACAGAAATAATCAACCACCTCGTTGTCGACGTACTTTCTAGAGCCACATCCAAAAGCTGTGTCTGGTGTAGTAATATCCTTTATCCCTGTTATTGTTATTTTTTTAATAGTCCATATTTATAACATGACTTATATTTTCAAACAAAAACTTACAAATATGTGGGTACTTAATTCTTACTTTTATTGTTCTGTACTAATTAACTTATTATTCGAATTTCCATTACTCACTTATGGTCTTCAATGCCGTACGCTTATGTATTCTAAATTCATTATGTAGAGATAGCGAACGGACAGAGATATGTAGAGAGTTAAAGGCAGATAGTATGGTCGAGACGGTTGGAGATATGGAGAGCTAGGAAACAGTTAGATAGAAGAAGTAGTAGTAGTAGACAGTATATGGTATAGATTAGTTAGATAGAAGTAGATAATTGATTTGTGTAAATAAAGAATATTTGTATCTTGAATTGGAATGTGTGTTAGATCTTCTTTTTATTCGGCCCTACCCTCAAAGTATTTAAAAGGAAAGAACTTTGTAAAATTAAAAACAGTTGTGTTTAATAAAATTCTGTCAAATAAAATTCTTTAGCTTTATATATTTAGTATTTGTGTCTGTTGTTAAAATGAATTGCCTATCGGGATCCTTTTATTGTTTTGTCTCTGAATACAAAACGTATAATAAACATCCATTTCCGGAGAAAAACAACTGCGGGTAAAATTCCGACAGATTTCAGCGTACCTTTCTTATACACCAACCGTATTTGAAGAGTAGAGTACCCAGCTCCCAGTGGTAGGTCCACATGTTGTGTTGTTACGCCTAAACACGTATTATCATCGTTGTCGGTTAATATGTGCATGTTGTTAAAATGGCTGAGTAGATCCACTGCAATACAGGTTAAATATGATCTTAACAATGTTATTCGTAAGTTATTTTTTTGGCTTGTTAACTTTGCATTAGTGTAGGAGGGATTAACGAGGTTCACATGAACGTAACTTTTGGTTATAAACTCGTTGTGAGATTTATGGGGGTTTAGCTTATGTCGTCGGGTCCAAGGGAGAATAGTCTAAAAGATATTCAAAAACCCATTAAATATTTTTAAAATCATGCACGGTGTAAATAAAATAAATATGGTTATAAAATGCTGATTGGTTTTTTTCCGACTATAAAAAGAGTGGATGCATTTGACGTTTTAATATTTTCGGTAATTCAACACAATTTTTTAAAGGCAAAAGCAATTTGGTTTTCACGTGGTAATTTTTTTTTTATTAAGTTTATAATTTACATTATTTGAACGGTCGCTTTGATTGAAAAATCTTTAAAAAACACGTTTTAATCCATGTCAACAATATGATGGAAGGATTCTCGTCAACATTCTTGACATACCAGAGTGCATCGGATCGGTGAAAGAATGTGTGGGTGGGTGGGGGGGGGGGTGACTAGGAATATTTTTATTAGGAGCCTACAGTACAACAACTTTACAATTTCATCTGTTTTAGTAATCTATTACTTGTATTATTGTAAATAATTTTATGTTTTGTTATTATTTCAAAAACATTATTTACATGTTTTATAAACATGTATGTTGTCTGTTTGGTAAACAATTCAAAGTCTAGCAAGAACGTCTGAAAGTATTTAAGGCAACTTCTAAATGTATGTAAGGGAGGGGAATTGTAAACCGAAAAAGGGGAAATAAAAATAAAGTTCGAAAACATAGTCAATGAATCTTCAATGCAAAATTATCTTTCTGCTGTATAAGCAGTGTTATAATTTTATTCGACAAATGGCTAAATCAGTTGTGGGTTTAAAATTGCGTCCAAAGTCAGCCTCATACAATTAGCTTTGATGGGCTTACATAGTCTGTTGGCCTTCTCTTGCAATAATCGACAAAAAGATCTATCAGGCTACAGGGGAAGAGCATTTGAAAACCCTTTAGCTCTTGTGGGGTACCTTGCCTACCTAGCCCCTAGCTGAACACAAGGGTCCCTGGCGTTAAAGTACACGCACACAACATCTTAACCTGTTGTGCTCCAATACAAATGGAGCAGATGAAGTGGAGTCTAGCAGTCTAGTTCTCAACGCTTGTTCACACCGTTCCATGGATGACTAAGACAGTCTCTACTAATTCATAAGCAGTTTTTTTACTACCCAATTATACATTAAGAAATAGCGTGTCAGAAGTCGTGCTTTGATTCCATTGCTTCAGGATTCACAGCCAGAGCATTAGTACAAGAGCCACGTTTTCTTGATCAACTATAAACTTTCAGTATATTAAAAATATTTACAATTTTTCATCTTCTAAAATAGACATAATTTAAACTTTTATTTTTGGCAAGGCCATAATTCCAGAAAACAGGTTATACGCGCAATCTTGATATTTTGTATTTTCTACACTATCATTTAATATTGATAAAACAGTCGATCTAAACAGTAGGCCTATAATAGTTTATTATGGTGTTCAGTAGTGAAAACTCGTACTGCACGCCAATTACGATCTGTTTTCTCCAACTTGCTCTAATATGCTTTTACTATGTATAGTGAGTTAACCTTGTTTCGATTGGAATGGCTAATTACAGTGGGTCCCTTTTTGGAGCTTACCCTAATTGGTTTTTATGAAACCAGCTACTGTTGATACTGTATGGTTAGACTATGTAAAATAAAGCTCCCGAAATGTTTGACTAACAAATTTATGGCTCAGGACAATATGGCTCAGAACATATGGAACTCGTAAATGACGACAAGGCTCAAGAGTGAAAAAGGAGCCAATTTAAATGGACTTTAATGGGGACATATTTTGTCGTGAGTCATATTGGCAGAAGCCATTTGTGGGAAGTCCAACTGGTTGAAGCCATTTTATTGTCCTGGTGATGGTGTGGGGGTAGATTTTAAAGGCTTTTATTTAGTTTACTTAATATGTTTGATTGTGTGTGGCTCCGCAAAATAATGGAATCTAAATGTAACCCATTAGAGTAACAATATTGGTGATCATTTAGTACAATGACTAAAATTGAAATAAACCTAATTGTTCGTATTTGAACTTATAGTTCTTTGATTATTTTTAGGAGTGCGATATTTATAGCGTAACATATGACAAACATCACCATAGTAAACTCAGGAAGTTTGAATTAAGGGGTTGGTATATATATATATATATATATATATATATATATATATATATATACATATATATATTTCATCCTGTTTCAAATTGCATTATATATATATATAATGCAATTTGAAACAGGATGAAACACGATTTTTGTGAGTGGGCGGTAAATTGACTTTAAAGTCTCTTTTGTAGTAATTTAAAAAACAAAAGATCCAAGATACAAACTCAGAAAAAAAAATGTTGAATATTAGAGTTGTTAAGATCTATCGCAATCGCAACTTACAACTGCGATATTTCATACACTTTCTCCAAATAAAACACCCAATATTTTATAAGATAAACAAATATTTAAGTAAAATTTATGTTTTACCTACCATACTGGCATGTTTTACCAAACCACCCCCGTGAGCATTTTGATCCACTATTACACGAACCGTCAGGGTTACATTGGTCGTTGACACAGTGACACAGATACTGCTGACTTGGACCAAACCAGACTTGAGCTAAAAACAAGGTAAAGAGCAAGGTTAACTTGTCAACTAAGTATAATTTTACAGTAAGACAAGCGATGACGTTCTGTGCATAGCTGCGATCTCATAATGAAGAAAATTCAAAGAAATGTTACTGTAACATTCAATTTACTATTATTGAATTTTATAGTAAAATAAATGTAGTATAGATGATTTACGGCGTATCCTTGATATACTTTTTTACATATTTCAATCCTAGACTATCCTTAGGTATAATCATAACTTTGACCTTAGACCTCATGCCCTACCATAAAGCATAAGTTAAAGCTAAACTTAAAGCTCCAGCTCAAGCTCCTTAAGATCAACATCAACATCAACATCAACATCAACATCAACATCAACATCAACATCAACATCAACATCAACATCAACATCAACATCAACATCAACATCAACATCAACATCAACATCAACATCAACATCAACATCAACATCAACATCAACATCAATATCAACATCAACATCAACATCAACATCAACATCAACATCAACATCAACATCAACCTAAACGTTTTAATCTTTTTAAAAAGTAGCACAAATTAAAATTGTTTTCAAATTGATATTTGAAAGTTACTATTAATTCTCTGTCTTACTTATAAAGGTAGCTCTTTAAACTGTCAACTTCATCGCATCCGAATATATATAATCAGTTGCGTCGTTAGTTCGGAGTCGTATGTCAGCCTGTGCGGCACCTCATGATGTTATCCCCACACCCCGAAAAAAATTGTTTAATTTTATATATATATATATATATATATATATATATATATATATATATATATATATATATATATATATATATATATATACATAGGCCTAAATTTATAGTTGCAATTGGCGTCACATGTTCCCATTTGCCAAATGGCGTCAATTTCTATTATTTTGATCCATTAATAAATACATGTCGAAAATGCATCGTTTTCAGCGTAAATAATTATATTTTGTTGTCAAATCCTCCCCATCGTTGATTGACTTATCGGTTATTCAAAATGCTCAAAAAAAAACTATTTTCGTCTGTAGGTTTTTTAACAGGAAAACAGATAGAAAGAGTTTTTTTCAAACTATAGAAAAAAATTTATGGTGAAATACAGTTAAATTTTGCATTGTTTTCTAAGATTTTTCAACATACCTGTTAAGATATCATTTGTATGGTTGGTACTGATGACGGCAGTGAGAGGTTCAAGAAAACACAAACGCAATTTCAGCTTCTTAATTTTAATGTTTGATACTTTAATCTTGGATAACATAGTAATCTTGAACCTAAATAGTGGCCAGCCTCTGAGGCCAGCCCTACCACACTTTACAAAACAAAACACGACTTCATGCTTCTAAGGCTAACATTCAACTTTCATATCCCTCTGGCCCTCAAACTCAGCTTGGGGTCTATGCCTTGGCTCAACTTCGAATACAATAGGGTATCTCATTACGTGTTTCCTCAAATTTGCATCCCAGGTCAGTTGGGTGGGACTCGGGTCAAAGACCAGGCGACCGGGGTACTACCCCTAGCCTGTACATCGCTGGGCGGGGCGGTCGTAACAGATTACGGCATGTCCCAATTCAAGTGGGGGACATGAGACGTGGGAGAGGGTGGTGGGCGTTAACACCCTGTCCCAGTTCAGGGGTGGGACGAGAGGGGGGGGGGGCGTTAACCCATTAGCATCAACATCGGACTCAGTTATAACAATACCAAATTTTGAAAATTAAAAAAATATATCTAAGGTGTTTTCTGTTAAAATATCTAGCCAGCTGATTATATTAGTGTTAGTAAGTAGAGGATCAATAATTATATGGCCATTTAATGTGTTTGTTTATGAAATGTTGTAACTCCACAAAAGGTTGTTTTGTTCAAGATGGCCACCGTTGCCATGGCAACCATATTTTCAAAAGAGTCCGTGATACTTGCAAATATTTTTTTTAAGTACCCAAACTTAGATATACACAAATAAATAAATAAAACATATTAATTAAGAAGTTTTTTTTTCTGGAGCCTACCCCCTTATATTTTCTTAACTTTGACTGTGCATAATAAAGTAATATGGCTCAAAATGAGTTTTTTACAAATTGTTCTACCCTGTTCGGCGCCTCTTGAGGACAGTGTCCAGAGCGGAGGGTCGCCCGAACCGCACTCCCAAAGATACTCTTCTGATCCGTAACTCTGGATACGAGAATATGGAACAGCAGAGAGAACAAGAAAATAGTCCAGACAATTACATAAAAAGCATTAGACAAATTCCATGTGACCGAACAGAATACAAAAGTAATACAAATCCAGAGAAGAAAAAACGATGTTTCTGTCACACTGTCATCTCCTTCGCATGAAAATAAAAAGTTTCCCGAACATATCGCTAAAATGGACTCCACATAGAAACGAAAAAGAGGAAGACCACTGGGGAAATGGAGTAGAGAAATGGAAGAAGAAGTGCAGGCTACTGGCAAGAACTGGCATGAATTGAAGTAGCTCGTCCAAGATAGAGTAGAGTGACGAAGATTTGTTGCTGCCATATACTCCACAGGGAGTGCTGGGGATTAAGTAAGTAATCTGTAACACGTTTAGATAAATTACTGATAACAAAGCCCAGATGTAACCCTCCTCCTACCCAACTCCGTAGCGCAGGCAAAAGACGCACAAAACAACCAAATATATAATGACGAGAGACTGAAAGGACACGACTGAAGTGTATAGCTGGATAGAGCGTAAGGAGACTGTAGCGAGAGAAATGCTACAACGGATGTGCAATATTCCTTAAAGAATCTAGAGCAATAATCATATTACATGAAGATTTAGACATTTTATCTTGAAATATTCTTTAAAAACATAAAAACTAATATTTTACCTTGTTCCGCTATTTGTAAAACGCATAGGATACAACCCAGTGTGGCCAACCACATTGTTTCAACGTGGCTAAAAACCTCACGAAAAATTCAAACAGAAAGCGAGACACAAGATCAGACAAATGAATGATAAATGATAAAATAAGCTCAGTCGCATTCAGTTGGGGCAAAGAGCTCATGGATATTAATTAGAAAACCTGTCACAATAAATGTCTCCAGGGGGATATAACAAGCATGCATTCAAGTCGTGTAATAGATTGGATTTCATAAATAAGTAATAAACAGCGAACCTCTAATGGGACACCTGTGATTTATAAATTAAATAAAAATCAATTATAATTAAATAACGGCCAAAACATCCTGTTATTTAGAATAACGGTAACGCATACCCAAACCTTAATCATGAATATATATATATATATATATATATATATATATATATATATATATATATATATATGTTTTCTAATTAATATCTCATTATCTGCGTGGCACTCGGAAAACAGAACTCTACAGAGCTTATACCTAATTCTTTAAAACAATGTGGTGGGCCACACTGGCTTGTATCTTATGCGTTTTACAAATCGCGGAACAAAGTAAAGAATTAGCTTGTAGGTTGTTAAAGAATATTTCAAGACAAAATGTCTTTTATTATAATGTAATATGATTATTGATCTCGATTCCTTAACAAATATGGCAATAAGGTTAAGGTTAAGGTTACGGTTAAGATTACGGTTAGGGTTAAGGTTAAGGTTAAGGTTAAGGTTAAGGTTAAGGTTAAGGTTAAGGTTAAGGTTAAGGTTAAGGTTAAGGTTAAGGTTAAGGTTAAGGTTAAGGTTAAGGTTAAGGTTAAGGTTAAGGTTAAGGTTAAGGTTAAGGTTAAGGTTAAGGTTAAGGTTAAGGTTAAGGTTAAGGTTAAGGTTAAGGTTAAGGTTAAGGTTAAGGTTAAGGTTAAGGTTAAGGTTAAGGTTAAGGTTAAGGTTAAGGTTAAGGTTAAGGTTAAGGTTAAGGTTAAGGTTAAGGTTAAGGTTAAGGTTAAGGTTAAGGTTAAGGTTAAGGTTAAGGTTAAGGTTAAGGTTAAGGTTAAGGTTAAGGTTAAGGTTAAGGTTAAGGTTAAGGTTAAGGTTAAGGTTAAGGTTAAGGTTAAGGTTAAGGTTAAGGTTAAGGTTAAGGTTAAGGTTAAGGTTAAGGTTAAGGTTAAGGTTAAGGTTAAGGTTAAGGTTAAGGTTAAGGTTAAGGTTAAGGTTAAGGTTAAGGTTAAGGTTAAGGTTAAGGTTAAGGTTAAGGTTAAGGTTAAGGTTAAGGTTAAGGTTAAGGTTAAGGTTAAGGTTAAGGTTAAGGTTAAGGTTAAGGTTAAGGTTAAGGTTAAGGTTAAGGTTAAGGTTAAGGTTAAGGTTAAGGTTAAGGTTAAGGTTAAGGTTAAGGTTAAGGTTAAGGTTAAGGTTAAGGTTAAGGTTAAGGTTAAGGTTAAGGTTAAGGTTAAGGTTAAGGTTAAGGTTAAGGTTAAGGTTAAGGTTAAGGTTAAGGTTAAGGTTAAGGTTAAGGTTAAGGTTAAGGTTAAGGTTAAGGTTAAGGTTAAGGTTAAGGTTAAGGTTAAGGTTAAGGTTAAGGTTAAGGTTAAGGTTAAGGTTAAGGTTAAGGTTAAGGTTAAGGTTAAGGTTAAGGTTAAGGTTAAGGTTAAGGTGTTATATATATATATATATATATATATATATATATATATATATATATATATATATATATATATATATATATATATATATATATATATATATATATATATATATATATATATATATATATATATATATATATATATATATATATATATATATATATATATATATATATATATATATATATATATATATTGGTGGCAAAATGCAAATTTAGACGTGGTTTCTTCTATTTGAACACATTTGTAAATTTTCATTTCGTTCTTTTTTCTCTAAGCAGCATAACAGTTAAATCTTAACTTATATTTGGTATAATATTCAGACTGTTCAAGTGGGAATTGGGGATTGGATTGTCAAAACAAATGTGACAGTAGCTGCAGTAAGGATTGTGATAAGGAAACAGTACAATGATTCAAAAAAGGTACACAAGCAAAGTTTATATTTATAAAATGTTCACCTTTTTAATTCGGATTGTGATGGACGAACATGCTCTGACCACTCGATTTGATCACCTTTGTGTGAAATTTTTAATTAGTGTTAATTAGTGTGCTCAAACCTATATTGATGCCTACCAGTGGCGTAGCGAGATAGGGTGTCACTCCTTTCCGGGGACAAACTTTCAATTTTCGATTTGCACACCCCCCCCCCCCCCCCCCCCGCCCATCGATTTGCACCGCTTAAAAGACTATTTAACACTCTAATTAATCACTTAATTAAGTGGAATTATCATTTTTCTGTATATAATTTGCTATTTTTTGCCTTTGTGTCACCACCCTAAAAAGTCACCCGGTGCGCTCCGCACCCCCCCCCCCCCCCGCTTTCTCGCTACGCCCCTGATGCCTACAAAATTCAAAATTTATCATTTTCAAAAAGATAAAACAAATTATTTATAACAAAAGTTTATCTCACACACCGGTGCAGGACCTGGCCCGTAGGGCTGGTTTACTATACAACGCACGTCGAATTAACTGTTATGTACTGTTTTACTCTTATTTTTGAGACATCGGCATAATCATGTATAGTATAGTCGTTTTATTGCTTGCTGTTCTTTCTTTCTTTGAAAAACCAGAAACACAAATTTACAAACATAACTAAATGACGTCGTGTTTCTTGACTCCTGGTCCCAAATCCTGGAGCAATGGATTTCGTCTTAGACTCTCCTATTTGATCACTTTACATCTCAATGAATATTTTAAGATACATTATTCTAAAACGTTGCATTTTAGCCTTATTTTCAAAAGCTGAAAACAATACTGGTTGTATTCAGACTGCCCTGACGGATTTTGGGGTTTGGATTGTAGGAAAATTGCTACAGCGGTTGCATTAGACCTTGTCATAAAGAGACTGGAGAATGCTTCCGAAAAGGTATACATAAATGTATATTTCTCTGGAATAGATTGGTTGTTCATTACAACATTACTGAATTACATGAAATAAAAAGCAATTATTTAATCATTTCTACAAGTTTTTTATACTAGGGTCTCACTCTGTCATTCGTATTTTTAATATATTTTTCTAACACTATTATACCGTGGTTATATGGGTTGATGTAAAACAATATATGTTGCAGTGATAAAAGTACCGAAGTATTTTTTTTTCTAATGTTAATTTTTTAGCAAAAGAAATATATTCGAAAAAGTCACTTACTATATTGTAACGGTCATTTGAGAATTGTAATTAAATTTAAATTGTTTCTGAGACCTCGTCATAAGCATGTATAGTAGAGTCCTTTTATTGGTTTTTTTTTATTCGTGGACTAGCCAAAAACACAAATTTACAAACATAACTAAATGACATCGTATTTCTTGATTCCTGATACCGAATTCTTAAACAAGGGATTTCGTCTTACACTTTCTTACTTAATCACTTTATTTCTCAATAAATATTTTGGAGTAATTTTGTTCAATAAAGAGGCATTTTAGACTTTTTCTGTAAAGTTGAAACCAATAATTATTTTATTCAGACTGCCCTAACGGATTTTGGGGTTTGGATTGTAGGAAAAAATGCTACAATCGTTGCAGTAGACCTTGTCATAAATAGTATAAATATTTTTAATTAAAAGAAATAACATAGGTATACATTTTATTGATTATTTTTAAATGCAGTGTCTACGTTAAATCCTATCAATAAAATATGTTAATTTTGATATTTATTGTGCTCAGTAGCATCAGCAATTTCGCATTTGATTTTGCAGCCTACACCTGGGTTGGTCCGAAAAAGGGGCAACCACTGCTATAAAAATGGCACATGCTGGCCAGTAGAAAAGTGTTCCCTGGGATGGTTTGGTAAACACTGTCAGTACGGTGATATAATGTTTACATCCGCAGATCGTTTAAAATAAAGCTTTTACTTTCAATAAGGTGTGACTTTGTTTAAATATACGCGTCGCATATACGCATTGTTTGCTAAATTATATATATATATATATATATATATATATATATATATATATATATATATATATATATATATATATATATATATATATATATATATATATATATATATATACATATATGTGTGTATGTATATGTGTGTGTTTGTGTGTGTGTGTCGGCCTACTTAGGACTATAATTTAAACATGTGTGTATTATGTGTATTGAACATGTTACTTACGCGTGGATATGTGTATTAGCTTTAATCAATGCAGACCCAATAGTAACGATGTTTATATAGAGTCTGTTAAGAATACAGTTGGGTGTAGCAATGTTTATTTATAGTTAGCAGTTTTACGCCTTGGTGTCACCCTTACCCTATTGTAATAATTGTGGATTATTACTTAAAAGACTGTTTAAGTCTAATAAATCACTAATGGATCTGGGAAATACGATTTTTTTAAATGTACATGTCCTCCTTTTCTTCTTCTTCGTTCTTAATTGTAGGTGTTGGGAGTGATCGGGCCTTATCAGCCAGACGCTTTGAACTCGAGACTTTTTTCGAATTTATCAACCATGAGCTTTGCCGACTCGACCTCGCTTCCATCACAATTACGGATTACGTGTCAATAGGTTATGCGCCATTGAGGCCATTCACTCCGATTTCAGCATGCTTTTATTTTTGGATTTGCTTCCGTAGCCTTTGTTCAACCAAGAACAAACTACAAGGCAGCAGTTGTTTGATTTTGGAGTTGTCTCTGCTAGAAGAGTGGCTGTCCAGCTAACGAGCCTCGTCTGCCCGAGAATGTACATTTTGAAATTTTTCCTTTGGTGTCACCCCCACCCCCCCCCCCACCCCTAAATGGTTCCGGAACTATCGCCCCGCCCTCGCTACGCCTGTGATTACAAGCAATTTTTTAACTTGCTTTCTCTTTCTGTGTATCTTTGTTTGTTTTGTTATTTGCCGTCATTGGTCGGAAACGTGTCAATAAGTTTTCGACCACTACTAATTTCATTAAATTTCAAGAATTAACCAACATTTCTCATATTAAGTACTGTTTTACGCGCTAT